ATTTAAAAAGTAGGAAACACAGAGTGAATCTGATGATATTGTGCAAGGATGTAGCTCAGTTTCTACCGACCTTCATCTTCAAAGGTATCAGTAATGGATCCGTGAGAGTAGCAAGCTTGTTGTGGAAGTTGAGGCAGTAGATGTTCATGCATATTTTGGGGAAGTTCCGGCAAGGGTGCTTCGAGCTGAAGAACCTTCATCACTTGTCCTGCTTTTGGTCTCTCCTCGTGGTCGGGGCGAGTGCACCATAATCCTACAACTAACAAGCATTCAATTTCATTTTTATCGAAATTCATACACAATCTCTCGTCAGCCACGTCGAGAAGATTTCCTGCAAGGTACAGCTTCCAAACCCAACTGAAGAGCGGCTCATGATATCCGGCATCCTGGTAAGTTCTCCTTCCACATGCAAGTTCCAAGGCCACAACTCCGAAACTAAACATATCAGATTCCTTAGTGGCCTTCCCTCCTTTCGCATATTCCGGTGCCATGTAGCCGTAAGTCCCTACCACCCCTGTTGTTTGAGTCCTGACCGGGGGATCCACAAGCTTCGCAAACCCAAAATCACCAAGCTTAGCGCTGAAATCGTTGTCCAACAGGACATTAGCTGATTTGATATCCCTATGAAGAACACACCGCTCTGCATCTTCATGTAGATAATGAAGCGCCGAGGCCAAGCCTAAAGCTATTTTATATCTGAAACTCCATTGCAGGGTTGTTCTAGGGCCAAATAGATGCATGTCAAGGCTGCCATTAGGCATGTACGAGTAAACAAGTAAGCATTCGCCTTCCTCGTGACACCATCCAATGAACTGCACCAGATTCTTGTGTATCAAACGACTTATTATTTTTACTTCAGTGGTGAAGATTTTCTCATGGTTCTTAATCGTGGCAAAGATTCTCTTCACAGCAACCGCACATCCAAGATCTTGTAATATTCCTTCATAAACTTGTCCTGACCCTCCTTGGCCTAGCTTTCTATCGTCCTCAAAGCCATTGGTTGCTGCAACTAATTCTTTGTAAGAAAACCGTTTCGGAAATGCCAGTTTCTCAAGATTCAAATCATTCGAGTGCTTTGCATGTCCATCATTCCGATTTCTTCGCTTCTTAACCACCAACAAACAGAAAAGCATGGCTACACCAAGCATCAAAACGAAGGAAGAAGCTACAACTGCCGTGATCAAGATTGCCTTCTTCGTTTTCTTTTCCTTCTGTTTGATGGTTACCTCAACAGAATCCAAATTGGAATTGAATTCCCATGAACTTATAACATGCCGCTGCTTGTGAACAGCAGAAGCAGAAAATCCAATTGTAACCTGTTCGGGGAGAACCTTTCGCAAGTCAATGACAGAAAAAAGAGAAGAGTTGTCCACAAAAACAGGGTTTACGTCGTATCTCCAAAACACACTGAGGTTGTTGGAGGAAGCATTGTAAGTTATCCATGCATGACCAACGCTCTCACTTTTGTTTCTAAAATCCCAACTGCCACTAACCGTGGAGGAAATCTGATTCACGTTGATCCCCACGTGCGGCGCAGGTGGATCCCACTCGTTTCTTAAGGTATCAAACTCAACAGCTACAATATGGTTTTGTGACACTACAAGATTAGTTGTTTTGTTGAACAATCCTAGATTACCGCTGTGGGAGTTGGGCGGAATAGGATAGCCAACGGGTGCAAGAAAAAAGGCAAAACCGTCGCCAATAGTGTTCGGACTGTCGCCAAAATTGACAGTAAACGTGAAATGAGTTTCGAAGTCTGCGAGCAAGCTCGTAGTAGAGTCCCATAACTGCAGAGGCTCTGAATACGTAGCTCGCCCGACACAGGGTGACCCCAGCTGCTGGTTGAGTTCGATCCTTGTGTAGGAGAGACGGGCATCGCCCGCGTTGTGTATTTTATTTGAGCCAGAGTCGAATTGTGGGAAGCTGAAGGAAAGTGGATTGGCAAAGGGAGCGAAAAGATGGATGGAAAGGAAGAAGACACTAAAAATGTAGCGCTTGTTTGAGTAGTGAAAGATCATTGTCTGATAGTTTAGGATGAAATTGGTGCAAAGTTTCAGTAAAAAAGAGAACTGCAGAAAAAGGCCTAAACAACTTTGAAACAGCAAAGAAAAATACGAGGAATATGATAAGTGGTATACACTTATTGACTGATTAAATAGTCTTATGCACTAATTAAAGCCGTCTTATCTCTTATTGGTTGAACCTTGGCAGGGACGGAGCTACAATTTCTTTTAGTGGGGTATCCCGAAAATCAACTAAGAAAACCTTATTATAGTATGACTTATACTCAATATGATAATAGAGATGCTTTCAAATGATGATGTATCACAATTCCATGTTACAAAAATTTCAATATAGTAGTGGAAAGTGGAAAAGTTGTGTGAAAAATATTAATACATGATAGGCGGGAGTGAGTTTTTCAGTTTGAATGACATGAGTAAGAGCACTTTTACTCATATAATATTTGACATGGAGTATAAGTGATATGAAGGTATGTTGGATATTAGATACATATATTTTCTTCAAAGATAACACATGTATATTATATAACTCTAGTCAGCAACTTAATAAACGAATTACTTGAGTGGGGACATCTACCCCCAGTGAGCCTTCATTGGCTCTGTCCATGACCTTGGCCGACCTTGTTTACTCTTATCTTCATACTCGAATATCATATTCTCCTCTTACTTTACGTGAATTTGGCGTTCTAATATCGTTTGTAAAAAAAAAAAAAAAAAAAAAAAAAAAAAGAGTAATCTGCAAACAAAAATAGCGACAGTTAATTTATTTTATTTACTATACAAAAAAGGAAAAGAACAATAGTGACGATGCAGCTTACCCCAAAAGTCGATGCGTGCGAGCCTCTAGAATCTTAATTAAATAGTTTAGGAGGATATTCAACTCCAAAGACCGACCAATTCAACTAAAAGAGACCGACCAATTCAAAGTCACTTAACGAGTGAAAAAAAAAGGAACAAGACATACTCCCCCATTATAATATTAGGCCGGCTTCTTTGGTGCGATGGAGTTGAATTATGTATTCACTTGTTTTCTATGATGTAATTTAACAACTATCCGTTAGTGTCTCGATGATGATGAATAATTTTTGTTTTTTCGACAAACAATAATTTTCTCAGTTAAATTGGTAAATGTCAGAGGGTTGTTTTCTATTATTATCAAGGTTGAATGTACTCTAACTACTATCCGTTACTGTCCCGATGATGAATAAACAAACGATAACATTCATTGGTTAAATTGTTAAATTTCAAAGGGTAGGAGGATCGTTGGGGATCGAACCGCACTAGGGTGCATATGTGTTATCGCTTTTCGCCACTACAATAAAACACCATCATTTTCTCGAAGATGAATAAAGTTTCTTTTGGTGTGCCGGAGTTGATTGATGTATTCACTTGTTTTCTTTTATTGTCGAGATTGGATGTAATCTAATAACTATCTATTACTATCTCGATAAGGAATAATTCTTTTTTTTAACAAATCGATTAAATTGTTAAATGAAGAAGGGAGGGGGATCAGTGGCACCAGTGTGCATATGCATTATTGTTTTTGGCCACTGCGATAAAGCAATTTGTTAATAATTGTAATTAGTGACTCTCGTATGCAAAATCAATGAATAGTACGTGTATATTATATAACTCTAGTCAGCAACTTAATAAACGAATTACTTGAGTGGGGACATCTACCCCTAGTGAGCCTTCATTGGCTCTGTCCATGACCTTGGCCGACCTTGTTTACTCTTATCTTCATACTCGAATATCATATTCTCCTCTTACTTTAAGTGAATTTGGCGTTCTAATATCGTTTGTAAAAAAAAAAAGAAAAAAAAAAGAGTAATCTGCAAACAAAAATAGTGACAGTTAATTTATTTTATTTACTATACAAAAAAGGAAAAGAACAATAGTGACGATGCAGCTTACCCCAAAAGTCGATGTGTGCGAGCCTCTAGAATCTTAATTAAATAGTTTAGGAGGATATTCAACTCCAAAGACCGACCAATTCAACTAAAAGAGACCGACCAATTCAAAGTCACTTAACGAGTGAAAAAAAAAGGAACAAGACATACTCCCCCATTATAATATTAGGCCGGCTTCTTTGGTGCGATGGAGTTGAATTATGTATTCACTTGTTTTCTATGATGTAATTTAACAACCATCCGTTAGTGTCTCGATGATGATGAATAATTTTTGTTTTTTCGACAAACGATAATTTTCTCAGTTAAATTGGTAAATGTCAGAGGGTTGTTTTCTATTATTATCAAGGTTGAATGTACTATAACTACTATCCGTTACTGTCCCGATGATGAATAAACAAACGATAACATTCATCGGTTAAATTGTTAAATTTCAAAGGGTAGGAGGATCGTTGGGGATCGAACCGTACTAGGGTGCATATGTGTTATCGCTTTTCGCCACTACAATAAAACACCATCATTTTCTGGAAGATGAATAAAGTTTCTTTTGGTGTGCCGGAGTTGATTGATGTATTCGCTTGTTTTCTTTTATTGTCGAGATTGGATGTAATCTAACAACTATCCATTACTATCTCGATAAGGAATAATTCTTTTTTTTAACAAATCGATTAAATTGTTAAATGAAGAAGGGAGGGGGATCAGTGGCACCAGTGTGCATATGCATTATTGTTTTTGGTCACTGCGATAAAGCAGTTCGTTAATAATTGTAATTAGTGACTCTCGTATGCAAAATCAATGAATAGTACGACAAAAAATATTAAATTGGCTCTTTATCTAATGATATTTTTCTTCCCTAAAGATCCGAAATCATACAATCACGTGCTTGGTGATAGCGGATAATTTGATTCAATGACCTAAACTATTCGTGTCGGGACATGAATATCAGTTGGAAAGTTATACAAAAAAAATCTAATTTCGTGAAAGAAATCTTAAAACACAATACTCATACATGCATACAAATAGAGAGATTAAAAATATAATATAGTAGCTCGGAAGCGATGACATGGTGAAATCAGATCATATATGAAAGGATCACGTGAGAGGAATCGGCATTTTACTGAAGCTGAGGCAGCGGAAGATCATGCATGTCGTGCTGAAGATCCGGCAATGGCGCTTCAAGCTGAAGAACATTCATCACTTGTCCAGCTTTCGGCCTTTCCTTATTGTCGGGATTAGTGCACCATAATCCCACAATTAACAAGCATTCCATTTCATTTATGTCGAAGTTCGAATCTAACCTTTCATCAGCTGCGTAGAGCAGATTTCCGGCAAGGTAGAGTTGCCAAACCCAACTCACAAGCGGCACGTCAAGTTCTCCGTCATGGAAAGTCCTCCTACCGCATGCAAGTTCCAAGGCCACAACTCCAAAGCTAAACATGTCGGATTTTTTACTTGCCCTCCCTCCCTTCTCATATTCGGGGGCCATGTACTCGAAAGTCCCTACCACCCCTGTTGTTTGAGTCCTGAACCGCGGATCCATGAGCTTCGCAATCCCAAAATCACCAAGCTTTGTGCTGAATTCGTCATCCAACAACACATTAGCTGATTTGATCCCTGTGAAGGACACACTGCTCCACATCTTCGTGTAGATAATGAAGAGCCGAGGCCAAGCCTAAAGCAATCTTAAACCGAAAATCCCATTGCAGTACTGCTCTATGGCCGAATAGATGCGTGTCAAGGCTGCCATTAGGCATGTATGCGTAAACAAGTAAGCATTCGCCTTGCTCATGACACCATCCAATGAACTGCACCAGGTTCCTGTGAATCAATCGGCTTAGTACTTTGACTTCATTGACGAATATTTTTTCGTGATGCTCTGATTCTGCGAAGATCCTCTTCACCGCAACTGCGCATCCAAGGTCTTTTAACATTCCTTTGTAAACTTGTCCCGAACCTCCTTGGCCTAGCCTCACATCGTTAGCAAAGCCGTTGGTGGCTGCAGCTAATTCTTTGTAAGCAAATCGTTTCGGAAATGCCAGTCCCTCAAGATTCGTATTCACCGAGGGCGCGTCGGTCCTATATACGCGCTTCTTCTTGATCACCAACCTGCATATGGCTACACAAAACATCAAAACCAAAAAAGAAACTGCAACCGCCACTATCAAGAATCTCTTGTCCCTTTTTTTTTCGTTCTGTTTGCATGTAAAATCCAAGCTTGAACTGAATTCCCATGAATATATGAGATGTCGTTCTGGGTACACTCCGGTAGAAGCTGAAAATCCTGTTGTAACCTTTTCGGGGAGAACATCTCGTAAGTCAATCTGGAGAGAAAGAGAAGAGTTGTTCACAAAAACAGGGTTTTCGTCGTACGTCCAAAACACACTAAGGTTTTTGGAAATAGCATTGTAAGTTATCCATGCATGTCCCAGCTTCCCGCTGTTGCTGCTAACATTTGTCCAACTGGCATTAGCTACGGAGGAGATACTGTTTATGTCTATCCCGACGTGCCACTCTTGCGGATCAAAGGAGTTTGGGAAAGTGTCATACTCAACAGCTACAATTTGGTTATTGCTGCGGAGTTTGGTGGTGCTGTTGAATAATCCAAGTGAAGAGGCGGCGGAGTTTGGTGGGATTGGATAGCCAACAGGACCAAGGAAAAAGGCAAATCCGTCGCTAAAGTAGTTGTTGTTACCAGTGTGACCAGTGTCGACAACGAAAGTGAAATGAGTAGTAAAATCTGCCAGTGATCCTGTACTAGAGTCCCACAGGTGGAGAGGCTCTGTGTACGTAGCCCGCCCAACCATCCATGAACTTTGTGAGTTGAGTTGAATTGCTCTGGGTACCCGCGAGGCATCACCTTCATAAGATATGTTCTTTGTAGTTTGGTCGAATTGCGTTATTTTGAAGGACAGCGGATGTGCAAGGGGAGCCAAAAAACTAATGACAATGAGGATGAAACTTGCTAGAATGCTTTGAAACATTGTAACTTCCGCTTAGCTAGTAACTAGAACGAAACTCTTGCAAAGATATTAGAAGGAAGAAAAAATAATCTGCAATCAAAGAATTAAAAAAATCAAACTCTACTCAAACGACTTAATTTGGGAAAACGGATTTCAGAAACGAGTCCAGAACGTCGAAATTAGACTAGGAGAG